GTTTTAGGCCTGTTTCTGGCATTATTTGGGGTGCTGATTCAGAAAAATGCATTGTATAGACCACATCAGCTCTAGATTTTTAAATATGGTTTTCAGTGGGGGTGCAGATGGCTACTATTGGATTGCATATGTTCTGTATCAGAAAGCCCAGTGTACCTGTCTGAACGTATCTCCTTCTACGTCCCACCTCGGAGTTTAAGATCTTCTGGGGAGGCTCTGCTCTCGGCCCTGCCTTTGTCACAAACATGCTTGGCGGGGATGAGGGACAGGGACTTCTTGGTGGTGACCCCCTGCCTCTGCAACTCACTCCCTGGGGAAATTAGTTGTGGGACCAGGCCTTCAGGTAATTATGCTGACAATGGCAATGACAATGATGACAATTGCTATGGTAATGGACTATGGACAAGATTGATGGAATCTCCAACCAAAGAATTTGGCTAAATAAGGCCACAAGGCTGTTATATTTAAGTACATTTTAATTGAACTAACTTAATGTTTAACTGTATGTAATTATTGGTTTTTATTATGTATTTTATTATGTGTACATGGAGGTATCAAATTGTTGCTGGTTGGAAGCCGCCCTGCGCCCCCACCCCCACCCCGTTGAAAAAGGAGAAGTACAAATCTCTGAAATAAATAAATAATAAATAAATAAAGTAGAGTTGATGTGGTCTATCCAATGGTGTTTTCTGAATCAGCACCCCAAATAACCAAACCAAATCTAAATTTGACCAAAAACTGATTCGTAATCCTTTTGTATTAATGTTGGAGAGTGGTACCTGATCAAGCGGTCCCTTTTCAAAGGGGTCCCTGATTTTAAAAAAGGCTTGGGAACCAGTGAACTAGAATCTGGAGATCATGCACTCTCCAGTTGTAGTTCAGAAATAGCTCAATCATTTAAAAAACAAGGCAAGGCAAGAAAGACAATGAAGCTATCTTTTCTCCCTCCTTCCATTGCTCATGGATTTTGTCCATGACATGACTTCTGGATATGGAAGTTGTATCTGTCCCACACAGTTGAAATGCATCACTTCAACAACAATTATCCCATCCTACAATATTCCTAGGGAGAGGTATTTTTATTTCTTTGTTAGAAAGACAGTATGGTATTATTGGTCGATAAAGCACCTAGACACTGCTCTTTAAAAGCTCTGGTCCACTCTCCTGGGTTACAACGCAAGTACCATAAGTGCTTGTGTTCTTCTTCTTTGCTATCAAGTAGACTTCAATGGAACATTAGAAGGAACATCTTGATGATAAAGTAGATTCTGTAATCAAACTGTAAGGGCAATGATTCATCAGTACTCCAGATACCCCTGTTTGGGTATCATCCAGCACGTCAATGACTTAAATCAAGAAATAGTTTTCTAAGATCTACAGAGACACTCGCTGGAACACCTCAGCAAGCGAGAGTCCAAAAGTGGCAGGCTCAAACCCAGAACCTCAATCAATGGCTGATACCAAATGAGAGACTCCCCCCCTGGGCACACAGAAAACTGGGTGACTTGGAAGGCGCTGAACAGACTGCGCTCTGGCACCACGAGATGCAGAGCCAATCTTAAGAAATGGGGCTACAAAGTGGAATCCACGACATGCGAGTGTGGAGAAGAGCAAACCACTGACCACCTGCTGCAATGCAACCTGAGCCCTGCTACATGCACAATGGAGGACCTTCTTATAGTAACACCAGAGGCACTCCAAGTGGCCAGCTACTGGTCAAAGGACATTTAATCAACTACTAAGCTTGCAAACTTTGTGTTTGTTTGTTTGTTTGTTTGTTTGTTTGTTAAAAATGCAATACAACTGTTTGGCTTGCTCCTGACACGATAAATAAAAATAATTCCAAACAAGCTCTGGATGAGCTCAGGAGTCCCCTAAGACCTGGGCAGCGGTGCAAAGACGAGCCCATAAGTTGGATTCTGACTACAAAGGCTTCTGTTGTGGGTCAAAGCACTAAGGTGACAGTAGTGCCCTCTGCACAAAAGTTCTGTTGCAACCTGAAATGTGGTTGCATGGCTATTTGTCATTTTTCACAGAAAATTGAAAACACATTCTCATTAGTGTTCAAAGATCAATCATTTCATTGGTCTAAGCTGGCTAATACAGATTTCATTGGCTCTCTATGACAGGAAGGCATACGTGGGATCTTAACAATGGCACTACTATAATCTATTGTTCTTCAGCCATGAACCTTCAGTTGGAAAGTATCTATAGATACTTCAAGTGGCTGGGAAATTAAGGGAGAACAAGCTAACCAGTTCTGTCCTGAAGTACTTTTATCTTTGAGAAGTTACTTCCTCTCTGCAACAACGTTTTCTCAAACTGGCAGCGTTTTCTGCAAACAAATGCCTTTGCAAATCAGGACATATGGGATTTTCAATCATTGAAAACATCCCTGAAAATTCCCTACTAAAACTACATCTCCCTCAAAATAATTCCCAAGGAAATGGTGAGATCTCTTTCTCTGGACAACTTCAAAAAGAGGATTGACAGCTATTTGTTTGGAATATTCTAGCAGGGATTTTTGCATTGAGCAGAGGGTTGGGCTCAATGCTTATGGGGGCCTTTCCAACTCTATGGACTTCATCCCTCGGGATAACTACAACACTTGGGATTGTTGGTTTACATTTAAGCCTCGCAAAGCTCCATTTTGAAATTAAATGGATGATGTTCCTACCCCTATCGTATGGTTTCCCTTTTTCTGCTTTCTTTTCTAATTATCATTTTGCCTTCCCATCACAAGGCACAAATATTTCTGCTCCCACTGTCTCCTCCCCCATTTTCTTTGCATATTACAATTTCCCTTTATAAGTACAGGTAAGTTTGAATTCCAAAAGGTAAGCTTATTTATTTTACATTTTTAAAAGAGATATAAATTAATGTTCCTTTCTCCTCGGTCGTAATGGCGGAAGAAAGGAACCAATACTGCCTGTCTTGGCTCCTCTCTCCATGATGACATCATTGTTATCATTACAAGCAGACAAGGGGAAATTCCCATCACATGGTAAATTGGGTGATTTTACACATCTCTATGCAGGGAATCGGAGCCCCCAATGGTGCAATGGGTTAAAGTATTGAGCTGATGAACTTGCTCACCAAAAGGTCACATATTCTAATCGGGAAGTGGCTTGAGTTCGCGCTGTTAGCGGGAAGTGAGAATCAACTTAAGAAGCATAGGGTGGAAAAACTTCAGAAACAGGGAAACACCTAGCATGCAAATGTGAGTATTTCAATAGGTACCACTCCAGTGGGAATGTAACGATGCTCCATGCAGTCATGGCAGCCACATGACCTTGGAGGTGTCTACAGACAACAGCAGCTCTTCAGCTAAGAAATTGAGATGAGCACCAACCTCTAGAGTCAGACACGACTGGACTTAATGTCAGGGGAAAACCTTTACCTTTACCTATGCAGGGAATTGAAAAAGAAGTCGATTGCAAATCAATTTAAGAAGCATGGGGAGGAAAAAAAACACTTCAGAAACAGCAAAACACCTGGAACCCATGGTACGAGCTTGCATCATGTGATGGGCTCTGTTGGTAGCAATTTCTTAAATGTGTGGAAACACTGACTTTATTGCATGTGATGAAGTCCTATGATTATGTTACTGAAAGTCAACTTTCACTTATGACTATCCTATGAATGAGAGACCTCAGAGAACGCTCCTTTGATTGGAGTAGAGTGATATCCCCCATTTCTTATTGCTATCCACTTTGTCAAATGAGGGCTGCAGTGGGCTAAACTGCCAAGCTGCAGAACTTGCTGACCGGAAAGTCTGTGGTTTGAATCCGTGGGACAGGGAGGGCTCCCGTTGTTAACCCCAGCTTCTGCCAACCTAATAGTTCAAAAACATGCAAATGTGAGTAGATCAACAGGTACCACTTTGACAGGAAGGTAATGGTGCTCCATTCAGACATGCTGGACAGATGGTCTTGGAAGTGTCTACGGATAATGCCAGCTCTTCAGCCTAGTAATAAAGATGAGCACCACCCCTCAGAATCGGATTCAACTAGACTTAATGTGAAGGGGAAACCTTTACCTTTATTTTGCCAAACACTGTCACCTTTCTTAGTGCTATGTATGTATATACTAGGTTTTTTTTTTCCTAATGTGACTTAATAAAATGGGACAGAATTCTCTAGTGGACAGATCTAAGTGTCTCAACAATAGGGATGTGAACAGGTTAGAACCTCAGTAAAAAATAAAAGGAGGAACCCCCACCTCATGGCTACAGTTGACAGACTGGGATTGTCCTTTATTTGGTCATACCAGCTCAAGACATGTGCTTGCAGTAGGTTACGTTATGATTTATTGAAGGACCATATTAATATACCCAGGCTCTGAAGTGTAAGTGTCCCAAGATGAGACAGAACAATGCAGAGCTCATCAGAACTTCCTTGGAATTCTGGAGGAAAAAGAGGAGAAAAACATACAAATGTTTTCATTGACTACTTGGAAAATCTTTTTCCAGTTATTGGTTTCTGATGGTGGCTAGTACTTCTCACTTTTTTTACAGATTCCCTTTCAGTGAGACTGTAAATCTGCTTCGGGTATCAGTGTGAATTTTGAAAGAGCTAGCCAAGTGGTAAGCACCTTTCTTCTTCTCTCTGGCTTCACCTCTCTTCCCCTGTCTCTTCCCCCATCTTTCTCTTTCTCCTTCCCTCATATTTTCCCTCCCTTTCCAACCAGATTGGCTGGATTCCTCAAGCCTGACACAGGCACCTTCCCATCTATATTTTGAGATGCTACCAACGGTTCCCTCTGAAATCCCAGCCATGATTCATGTTGATACTGGGTGGGTCTCATCCAATGTGTCCTCCTGGGTTATTGTTTTCAATCACGTGGAGAGCAAACTTAATAAGCATTGTCCTCTTCCATCCATCGGGAAAGAGGTGGATCCCCACTTAGGACCAATAGAAGCCCAAAGAGACACTTATGTTTAGGGCTGGCTCTTTGGGAGAGAAGGTTTGGCCAAAGGCATGTAGAAGGTTATTAAAGGTGGTGCCCAACACTTGGTCAGAGACAAGGGCACAGGAAACACAAAGGGGGAAGACAGCAGTGTCCCAAGATGGCCAGGTTTCTGGCAGTTTTTCTCCTACCTGCACTCTTCAACCAAGGTAAAAAAAAAAAAAAAGAAACTTTAGGCATGGATGAAATATTATTACTATAATGCCAGTAGTAATAGCATCAATATGAATATAAGATTAGAGAACTCCACCTAAGAGACCTCATCAGACTTGCAAAATCGTATTGCGTTCTGAGTAACTTGAATATTAGATAGAGGAGAGCCCTATAGAAAGGTAAATTTGGGGCATGGCTCTCATTAATTGTGTGGCTCCATCCTAGCCATGTGAGTTCCTAGAAGTCAGTGCTGTTTGCTCAAAATGTGGGTTACTTCTAAGGGAGCATTTTTTTAAAGAAAAAAAGATCCCATGTATGAAAGCAAAACTCCTTGAACTCCTTGAGATTTTTGTTCTCACTAAACATAATGAGATTTCAATGTAGGTGTCACCAAGAATCATGGGAAAGTTACTTTGTAGCAGTGTTTCTCAACCTTCCTAATGCCATGACCCTTTACTACAGTTTCTCATGTTGTGGTAATCCCCAACCATAAAATTATTTTCATTGCTACTTCATAACTGTAATTTTGCTACTGTTATGAATCATAATGTAAATATCTGATATGCAAGATGTATTTTCTTTCACTGGAAGAAATTTGGCACAAATAACCAATACGCTCAAATTCGAATACTGGTGGGGTGGGGTGGGGATTGATTTTGACATTTGGGAGTTGTAATTGCTGGGATTTATAGTTAACCTACAATCAAAGGGCATTCTGAACTCCACCAACAAAGGAACTGAACCAAACTCGGCACACAGGACTCCCATGACCAACAGAAGATACTGGAGGAGTTTGGTGGACATTGACCTTGAGTTTTGAAGTTGTTGTTCACCTACATCCAGAGAGAACTGTGGACTCAAACAACAATGGATCTGGACTAAACTTGGCATGAGTACTCCATATGCCCAAATGTGAACACTGGTGGAGTTTGGGGAAAATAGACCTTGACATTTGGGAGTTGTAGTTGCTGGGATTTATAGTTAATCTACAATCAAAGAGCATTCTGAACTCCACCAACAATGGAACTGAACTAAACTTGACACCCAGAACTCCCATGACCAACAGAAAATGCTAGAAGGGTTTGATGGGCATTGACCTTGAGATTTGGAGTTGTAGTTCACCTACATCCAGACAGCACTGTGGACTCAAATGATGGATCTGGATCAAACTTGGCACATTCAATATCCATGGTGGAATTTGGGGAAAATAGACCTTGACATTCGGGGATATTGTTGTTGCTGGGATTTATAGTCGTCCTATAATCAAAGAGCATTCTGAARCCCACCAACAATAAAATTGGGCCAAACTTCCCACATAGAACCCCCAGTATCAACAGAAAATACTGTATTTTCTGATTATCTTTGGCGACCCTTCTGACACCCCCTTGTGACCCCCCCCCCCTCCAGGGATCCCAATCCTCAGGTTGAAAAATACTTCTTTGTAGAGTCTCTTGGCCATTGGCCATGCTGGCTGAGGAATTGCAGGAACTATTGTTCAAAARTGGTCTTCTTTGGACTCTGAGGTCACCACAGTCTTTCTTTTCCACCAATCTTAGCAGGGCAGCTATTGGATTTATAGATCTTGTTTTTGGTTGCTGCTACCAAGCTGTGGCTTTCAGCATAATAACTCTTTCTTTATAAGGAGAGACTGTTCTTCACATGCATTGTTTTTCTGGTTTGTTGCCAACAATAAGGAATAGCCTTAAGAGCAAGAGGAAATGAGTGATTTGCTCAAGGCAAGTGCAGAAAGGAAGTAGCAGAAGGAAAAATGGACTTAAGTTTTGCAGATATGATTTTGATGTTTTTCCATCTCTCACAAACCTATGACTCTTTTCTTATACCACTTTTCTCCCTCTTCAGAGTAAGTGTGTGCCAGCAAAGTAAATATCTTTCATAGATTTTGAAGCAAGTGCTGTAACGCCATAAAAAAAGCATTTCCTAAGTGCTTCTTCCTATCATTACTCAATAATAGATGGCTTTGGTATGACATTATCTTGACCTCCTTTTCCTCCTCCTCCTTTTTAAAGCAAGTGCTTGTTCTACCATACATAAACAGCAGGGATGTAGAGGAGAAATTTCTATATTACCAGACTGTCAAAAATATTTTGGACTGCAATTCGCAGAATCCACGAGAGGATTCTGATGGATTCCATTAGATGAAGATTTTGGCTCTCTTCCCCTGACTTAGCCTCATCACACCAGAGGATGGATCCACTTTAAATTTGGTTTCTGCCTCCTGCAGAATTCTGGGGTTTGTGGTTTAGTGAGGCCCAAGACCTGTTTGGCTTTGTGTGTGTGTGTGTGTGTGTGTGTGTGTGTGTGAGGAGTGACTTGAGAAACTGCAGGTGCCTTCTGGTGTGAAAGAATTAGCCATCTGCAGGGATGTTGCCCAGGGGACGTCCAGATGTTTTGATGTTTTACTATCCTTGTGGAAGGCTTCTCTCATGTTCCCGTATGGAGAGCTGGAACTGACAGAGGGAGCTCATCCATGCTCTCCCCGGATTTGAACCTCCAACCTGCCGGTCTTCAGTCCTGCCAGCAAAAGGGTGAACAACAGCAAAACAACAGAGAGGAAACAATCAGGGACATCTAATCACCTCTCAACAAAAGATTGCCCCAGACACTAACAAGCCACACCAAACAACTGCCAGGCCATCAAATGCTAATCGAGGTGGCCAGTTAAAACAGTCACACCTAGCTCCAACAGACAAGAGTTCTTTGTCCCACCCTGGTCATTCCACAGATATATAAACCCAATTTTCCTAGTTCCAACAGACCTCACTACCTCTGAGGATGCTTGCCATAGATGCAGGCGAAATGTCAGGAACGAATGCCTCTAGAATATGGCCATATAGCCCGAAAAAACCTACAACAACCCAGTAAAAGCAGGCATAACATGAAGTTGCAGTTAAGACAAACAATATGTGATCGAGAGTAAATGCAGCAAAGATTTTCAAATTGACTTTAAACTAGCAACTCAATTGTCCTCCAGTCTCTATCACCTGAGGCAGTTGCTGCGGGTTGCCTCGTAATATCGTCAGCATTGCACTTAAGCACTAAATTGGAACAAGCAAGATGAAAATGCCCCGGTTGCAATTTTTACTATGAGGTTACATTGGTTGTTTTGTTGGGGAGAGCGGATCTAGTAATCCTGTAATCTTCTAACTGTCATAAGACCACTATTCCCAGCATCCTCAAGTATGTTGGCTAGGGTTAATGGGAGTTGCAGTACATCATCTGGAGGACCACACAATCCCCGTGTGTAGGCATTGAGGAGGGATTCAATAAGCATAGACTACTCTTTTCCCTCTTTCTGGACTTCCCATAAGCACTGCAAATATAATGGACAGGCTACATACAGGCTTCTTTCAAAATACTATTATGAAAACATATGGGTTGGGTGTGTATAGTCCTCCTTCCCACTTTGGATCAGCTCCACCCTGAGACTTGCTTATCTCCCCTTTCATATAAACATCTCTGCCTTCCAACTCCTTCAAGGACAAGGAATGTATAAAAGGATTCATGCTGAGTTTTGGAAAAGCTGTTTTTTTCCCCATGGTTTGCTCTTGGCTTCATACTACAGTTTTGCTGGATTAGGATCATCCCAGGCTCTGAGGTCTCTGAGCCAAAACCCAAGACTTCGGGGAAGTCCCTGTTGAAGTCGTTAGTGTTATACATTAAGTACCAACCACAATTGTTCACAGTTTGTCATTCAAACACATAAGCACAGAGCAAATACCATGCGAAAATTATGCCAGAGCTTTTAACCGAATGGCTGATTCTCAGACTAAATGTAGAATGAGGGAATTATTCATTCTCACCTACTCAGGGAATCCGGATAAACAACATTTGATTTGGTTTATTCATTTAATCAAAATTATCCACAAAACCATGATAAATTCACTTTAGGGTCGCTGGCAATGTCTCCTTGTATTGGGAAAACTATAAGTAAAGGTAAAGGTTTCATCCTGACATTAAGTCTAGTCGTATCCGACTCTCCATTTCTAAGCCAAAGAGCCGGCGTTGTCCATAGACACCTCAAAGGTAATGTGGCCAGCATGACTGCATGGAGCACTGCTACCTTTCTGCAGAAGCAGTACCTATTGATCTACTTACACATGCATGTTTTTGAACTGCTAGGTTGGCAGAAGCTGGGGCTAACAGTGGGAGCTCACCCTGCTCCCTGAATTCGAACCACCAACCTTTCAGTTAGCAATTTCCTCAGCTCAGAGATTTCACCCACTGCACTGGGGAGCCCATGGGGAAAGCTATACCTGCTGATTATTTTTTAAATAATTTATATCCCATTTTACTCCCAAATCAGTGTAAGATGGTATCTATCTATGGTGTTTTCTTCCTTGCTATGAGGTAGGTTAGGCTGATTGACAATACTTGGCTCAAAATTCCTATAAATTTCATAACTCATTGACTTTTGAACCTAAATCTCCCCAATTTATTATTTTAATTTAATTTATATCCAGCTTTCCTTCCAGCATGGACTCTGGGATGTAACAATATGGTTAAAGTGATATACAACTAAAAGCTGATCAAAATTAACAGAAATGCACACAATTAAATCAGCTGAAACATTAAGATGGCTACAGTGTAAAACAATATCAAATAATTTAAAATCATAAATGAAAAGATTAAAATGGAGGATGTCCCCATTAGAAAACTCTTCCACATAAAATATTAGATACTCTAAGTACTACACCATGATGAAAACCATGCACATGATAAAGTATTAGATCCTTTTAACACAGCAGGTTAACCACCAGCTGCAGTAAATCTTGCCAATCAAAAGGTTGACAGTTTGAAGCTCCTAGCCTTTAGCCCAGCTTCCGCCTACCTAGCAGTTCGGAAGCAAATGTGAGTAGATAAATAGGTACCACTTTAAAGTGGGGGATTTAAGGCTGTATATGTGTTCTATGGTCCACCCTGAGTCCCCTTCAGGGTGACAAGGGTGAAACATAAATACTGTAAATAAATAAATTTTTGTTTGGATAGAATGGTATCCTGAAGCCTATTTTCTCTTCCCCTTTTGCCAGCTTTCTGCCTGCAGTGCAACACATGCCATGGGGAGTACAACTGCATAGGAGAGAATGTGACTTGTGAAAATCCCTCCGCCAGCTGTACCACATCTGTCCGGAAGGCATACGTCTGTAAGTAGTGTTTTTAGAAATGGGAACTGGTGGTTTTCTTTTCAAAAGGTCAATGTGATCAATGCTTCAGACAGATTGCTAGCTGAGTTATCCCATTACAAGAAAAAAATAAGAGGAAGGTAGAGTGGACGTGCAGCAGGACAACGGTGCCTTTGGTAGCGGCTCATCAAATGATAATTCTAAAAAAAAAAAATTATTCTAATGGCAAGGATCTGTTAATGACTTCCTTCACTTCTTATGTTGTTATCAGTTACTGTACAAAAGTTTAGTTGAGCTTTTATTTATTTTATTTTTAAACAAATATTTTTTATTGAGGGATTTAGAGTGGTACCTACTGATCTACTCACATTTGCATGTTTTCAAACTGCTAGGTTGGCAGAAGCCAGGGGTAGTGATTGGGCTTTAAAATGATACAAACGGTGGTGGTAGCAGTCGATGGCAGTGCTCAGATCAGAAAGTTGCTCTTTTTCTCGAAGTCTTTGAGGAAGCTTTGTCTACCGAGGATGTGGTGTGTCCCATCAGCCCTTTGTGAGATTTGTATTAACGTTTGGGAGAACACCAGGGTTATATTGCTATAAAGCTGCAGTGCTATAATGCCTTGGTGTCTTGTATTTTGTGGAGATGGGGCATGTGTATGCATGTGCAAGTATGTATGCCAAACAGTGGAAATGAAAGGGTCTTTGACTGAAATTTCCAAATGCTAAGCAAGGGGCTTTGAATGAAATTAACAGCAAAAGAGAAATATACCCTTTCTCTGTAGAAAAGGAGCAACACGGAAGAAAATTTGATTTTTTTTTAGAGACAACATGTGACATGTAGAGGTCATACAAAGTTCAAACTCACAGAGTTGTGTTGTGGTTAAGCCAAAGGTTGTGGTTAAGCACAGAGTCTGCAGCTACAAGAAGGTACTTTCCATCAAAAGGTCAAGGGAGGGGGGCTGGTAAGAGAGTACTTTCCATGACCTATTACTTGAGTATAAAAGTCAGCAGAAACAGAGGAGGGGGGCGGCAGTCACTTAAAGGGTAGCATCTGTGTATGCTGCCAGGCTGTCCGTCTTCTTCATGAAGAAACTAAAATAAACCTTGTTTTTTTATCTTTTTGGGGGACTGTCTCTTTCCTTACGTGCTTCTGTGATGTGGACCTAAGAAGACCCAATTTAGGGTCTCCAACAGAAAGGGACAGGGATAATTTCTTGGGGAAAGTAGTAGGAAGGCATTCCAAAATGCTGTGTGCAACACAATGTTAGCACAAATGGATGCTGCAATCCCGTAGTGGTTCTGAAGGTACTGTGGGGAAGAAAGCGATCCCACTGGAAAAGTGTTTTCATTGACAAAGCAAATGCAGTGGGATAAGAGACTGGTGTGGTAAGGCTCCAAGTGATTTGGATTGTATTGTTGCGTGCCTTTCAAGTCATGTCTCTTATAGAGTTCTGAAGCTTTTATTTATTTATCTAATAGGGCTTTCTTAGCAAGATTTCTTCAGAGGGAGTTTGCAATTGCCTTCTCTGTTGAAAAGGTGTGACTTGCACAAGGTCGCCCACTGAGTTTCTGTGGCTAAGCAGGGATCCAAACCCTGATCTCCCTGATTTTGGTGAATGGATGTGTAGGGAGGAAAGAAGATGGCATCATTATGACAAGGCTTTTAAAGCTTCAGTGATGCATTGAGATTTATTGTTAGTGCATGCCGGGGATAAACAAAAGTATCTCCATTATCTCTGGGCATAATGATGATGATGATGATGATGATGATGATGATGATGATGATGATGATGATGATGATGATGATGGAACTGCAAAGACTCTGGCACAAGCCAGTCAAGGTGGTTCCAGTGATGATCGGCACACTGGGTACAGTGCCTAAAGACCTTGGCCTGCACTTAAACACAATTGGCGCTGACAAAATTACCATCTGCCAGCTGCAGAAGGCCACCTTACTGGGAACTGCACGCATTATTTGCCAAAACATCACACAGTCCTAGACACTTGGGAAGTGTCTGATGTGTGATCCAATACAATAGCCAGGAGAGTGATCTTGCTTGCTGTCTATTAATCTTGTTGTGTTTATTATAATAATAATAATAATAATAATAATAATAATAATAATAATAATAATAATAAATAGAAGAGGTAACTAAAAAGCAAAATTAACTAAGCTACCTAGCAGATGCAGGACCTACCAGAGTATAATAAATCTAACTGATTTTCATTTCCAGCCTTTCTGGAATTCCAGTCTGTGAGGAAAGGCTGTGCCCAGCAGCTTTACCCACCCGAATCCATTTCAATCAAATCGCACCTGATGTCTCTCTCGTATCAGGCACGCTTCTGCGCCGAGGATGGTTGTAACAATGAGACCTACTTTGGTGAGTCCTTTTTCTGGTGATTCTGATGCAAGATTCTGTGTGAATAGTTCCTGATAGCTTCAGCCTAGGCAAAGGAGGGATACTGAGAAAGGCATTTATTTATTACTCATGCCAACAGATTAAAGTAAAGGTAAAAGTTTCCCTTGACATTAAGTCTAGTCATGTCTGACTCTGGGGGGTGGTGCTCATCTCCATTTCTAAGCTGAAGAGCTGGCATTGTCCGTAGACACCTCCAAGGTCATGTGGCTGGCATGACTGCATAGAGTGCCATTACCTTCCTGCCAGAGCAGTACCTATTGATCGACTTACATTTGCATGTTTTCAAACTGCTAGGTGGGCAGAAGCTGGACCTAACAGTGGTAGGTCACCCCACTCCCCGGATTTGAACCGCCGACCTTTCGGTCAGCAATTTTAGCAGATCAGAGGTTTAATCCACTGTGTCACCAGAAGGCCCTTCCAACAGACTAGAGTCAGAAAATATGAAAGAGACAGAAATGCTTGCATTTCATGCACTTTTGGTAGAAATGAGCAACTTTTAAAATGTGAAAAGTATACTGACTATCTTCTTTCTGCTTCCAGTTTCTCATCTGCCACCAGCCAACCACATGCGCTGCCACACCTGTGCCTCCCAAGGAGCCTGGTGCCCAGAAATTGCCCGCACTCAGATCAGCTGCTCTGGAGATCAGGACCAGTGTGTGGATCTGACTATCCTTGGAAAACTAGGTAAGTTGAGAGGATAGTAGTGGAGTCTAGAAGTCTCTGACTGCCCTTCCGGAACCAAGATATTGCACAAAGAGGTACCACAGACCTCCTCCACAATGTCTTTAAGAATACAGTGTTCCCTCGCTGTTTTGCGGTTTGGTTTCTGCAGACTCGCTGTTTTGCAGTTAGGGCTTAGAATTAATATTTTAAACCCTATCCGCGAAACAGCGAGTCTGTGGGCTCTGTGGCTGCAGGGGTGAGGTGGGGAAGCTGGCCCTGGCTGATCCAGCCAAGCAGTGAGAGACTTCCTGCCATGACTGGCAGGAGAGCACCCACCACCACAATAACCCTTGCCCGGTAAGTCAGGCAAGGCATTTCACATATATATATATGTGTTCCAGTACCACCCGTGATAAGTGAAAAACCACGATGTAGGGACTATATATATAGCCCCTACATCGTGGTTTTTCACTTATCATGGGTGGTACTGGAACACAACCCCTGCAATAAGTGAGGGAACACTGTAGTCACTTTAGTGGAACTAACATCCACACCAGCAACCTGCAGAGACTGGCCTATGTTCCTGAATGTCATTCAGTTTCAGTTTTCCTCCATCCAAGGTATAAACGGATTGTTCAAATCCAAAAAGGTCTGATGGAATGCCATTTCCCTTCCTCCCTTCTGCCTACACAGGTCAATACTCCAATGTGAAAATGAAAGGTTGCGCCAGTCTCAAACGTTGTGAGGACACTTTGAGCTTCTACTCCGGCAGGCGCACCATCCATGCTTCCTGCTGTAATTCACCTCTCTGCAATACCTTCAGCACAGGTAGGCAACCCCTCAACTTGGTAACAAGCAGGGGATAGACTCTGGCTAACTATCTCAATTGGTTTTGTGGTTTGTTTTTCAAATATTCCTCAGTGCTTATCTCACATCCAAGTTGACAGCTGAATTCTGCCAAGGGGTAAACTCCATTAGGGAATTTTACCTTGTATTTTAACATTAAATAACACCTCACTTTTACAAGTTTAATGGTGTTTTAATACACCAAGTTGTTTGATTGTGTGACTTTTTATTTTTTTAATATATGTTTTTATTACCCACACAGGTAGAATGATATCACAATCCATAACCATTTCCGAATACATATCAAATCCACCACCATATCCGAATACATATCATAGTGTTCTTACCTATTCCACCTTTATCTCCCACTTTTGTCTATCAATTTTACACTCCTCTCCCCCCAACCCCACTTTTTATTTTTATTTTTTTAGCTTTATGTTGTTTTTGCCTTGTTGTAAGCTATCTTGACTTCCAAGCTGAGATAAAGGCAGGATAAAAATAAAATAAAATATTCTAGCACCTATAGGAGATACTCTGCTTCAAAGTATCCCTCATTAGAGAATGCAACTCATTCATAGCATCATAGAATCATAGAATTGGAAGAAACTTCGTGGGCAGTCCAGTCCAACCCCCTGCCAAGAAGCAGAAAAATTGCATTCAAAGTACCCCTGACAGATGGCCATCCAGCCTCTGTTGAAAAGCCTCCAAAGAAGGAGCCTCCACCACACTCTGGAGCAGAGAGTTCCACTACTCAACAGTTCTCATGGTTAGGAAGTTCTTCCTCATGTTCAAGTGGAATCTCTTTTCCTGTAGTTTGAAGTCATTGTTCTGCATCCTAGTCTCCAGCAGAAAACAAGCTTGCTCCCTCCTCCCTATGACTTCACATATTTACACATGGCCCTCATGTCTCCTCTCAGCCTTCTCTTCTGCAGCAAGATCAGAAATCGCACACAAAACATCACCTTGTGCTTTGAAAGGCACACTGCTATCTGGATACAGTGCTATCTGCATGGGTTTCATTGTGTGACCTCTCCTGTGAATGCCAGAATCTGTGGACACTCAAGTCTCATTATATATAATGCCTTAGTAAAATAACAAAATCAATATTCTCTTTTGGAGAGGGAAAAAATTGGTGGGGAAATTTTCAAGTTGTGGTTGAGTGATTCCATGCATTCATAATTCATGGAGATGGCTTCCTTGATTGAATCAAACTATCAGTAATGGAGTATTTCTTTTTTTCTACTGTCTTTCATTTTATCCTGTTTTAACATCTTTTCCAAGTGAGTAGTAGTATGTCAAGAGCCAGGGTGATGTAATTGGTCGACAGCTCTGGAGACCAGTGTTCAAATCCATGTTTGGCCACAGAAACCCATTGGGACTTTGGGCAACCCTTATTCTCTCTGAGGAAACCCCCTCTGAACAACTATTTCCAAAGTTCACCTTTAGGGACTTGAAAGCACTCAATGGTCCTTGCAGACGGCCAATTCTCTCACACCAGAAGTGACTTGAAATTTCTCAGGTCGCTCCTGACATGACAAAAAAAGCACTCAGTGGTAAGAAATATTATCCCATGTTATGCCCAAAGTACAATAGTATTATTTCAGTCATTTTGACTTCTAGGGAGAGTTGAGGCTTAGTTTGCTCCTAGCCCCATTGATTTGGCTCTCTTGGCCAGAAGTTAGAGGTACAAATTATGACCATGCTATATCTCAAGATTGCTTTTCCCACCCCTATTTCAGATTTCCACGTGCTGAGTGAAGCACCAAATGGACTGGAATGCTACAGCTGTGTGGATGATGATGGCTCTGGATCTAGATGCTCCACTCAAGCCATGTCCAAAGTGCAGTGCACAGGCATCCACAGCATGTGTTTGGAGGGTGTCGGCAACAGCCGTAAAGGTGAGTGCCTGTAATCTTAACCACTGAACATATACTTACTTACGTACTTATTTACTTACTTAGGCAATCCGTCTTTGCCTGAGTATAATGGCCTTCCAAGTGTAGTGTCTTGGTGGTGGATACTTAGGTGACTGTGGAGCCCTGTTCTTGAGCTGCATGTTCTTCCACAGTGAGGACATTGGATTCCAGGTGGAAGGTGGTCCCCATCAGGATTGGCTTGACACACTTTCCTCTTGGCATGTTTCTCCCTTTCACCTGCCATTCATGCCTCTTCGAATTCTACAGCACTGCTGGTCACAGCTGACCTCCAATTACAGTGCTCAAGACCCAGGGCTTCCCAGTGCCATAGTTTTTAAAGTTAGCTTTAAGCCTATCTTTCAATCTCTTTTCCTATCCACCATCATTCAGTTTTCCATTCTTGAGTTGGGAGTATAGTAACTGCTTTGGGGGACAATGATCGGACATTTGGACAACATAGCCAGTCCAGTGGAGCTGATGGCGTAGGAGCATTGTTTCTTCCAGCACACTGACATTAGCTCGCATGTCATTGCACGGATATACTGAACATATGAATTCAACCTGAAATGAAAAGTGTTTAGAAAAAAAATATGTTTCTAAGTCCTGGACCACTGAGAATCTTCATAGCTTGGAGATTCTTCTGTCAAAGTCCACACATTATTTAGTTGCACAGAAAACAGCATTATTATTATTTTTTTGCAAAGGTAGCATGACTACATGCAAAGAAAGGTTACTTTCTTTACAAAAAATGTCGGGCAGATTCCTGCTATGTGCTCATAAATGGACTTCCATGTGTGAGAAATAGCTTTGAAAAAATGTGTGATGTTTGTCATCTATCAAAGACTGCCGTTTCACAGCAAAGGGACCGATGCACAATGGGACACTCTTGAGCAGCTTCTGGTGTAAATCAGGCACTCCTCATTTGTGCATCATTTGCAATTCCATAACATCCCAGCACTATGCATGAAACCATGGGTAAAAATAAAATCTGGTGAAAGCACACCATAGAATCACACTGAAGGACCTAAGGAATGCGTAAAGAGGACACATGGCTGGCATCTTCAGCTCAACTCTGTAATCAACCTTTGGAGAAAAGACACCATAGAATTCCCTGAAGGGCTAAGACGCCTAGAGAGGGCATATTTTGTCAGATGCAAGTAAATGAAACCATGGGCACTAGCAGTCTACAAATGTGGGAATTGTAATCGATAGCCCTCTATTTGTGGCAGCTGGTGGCTCTTATGTCAGAGGGCAAATGAATCTACTATGTGTTTAGTCCAGTGGTTCTCAACCTTCCTAATGCCACGGCCCCTTAATACAGTTCCTCATGTTGTGGTGACCCCCAACCATAACATTATTTTCATTGCTACTTCATAAATGTAATTTTGCTACTGTTATGAATTGTAATGTAAATATCTGATACGCAGAATGTATTTTCATTCACTGGACCAAATTTGGCACAAATACACGATGCGCCCAAATTTGAGTGCTGGTGGGGTGGGGGAGGGGATTGATGTTGTCATTTGGAAATTGTAGTTGCTGGGATTTATAATTCACCTGGAAGGGTTTGGTGGGCATTGACCTTGAGTTTGGGAGTTGTGGACTCGAACCATGATGGGTCTGGACCAAACTTGGCATGAATCCTCAATATGCCCAAATATTGGGCACTGGTGGAGTTTGGGGGAAATAGACCTTGACATTTGGAAGTTGTAGTTGCTGGGATTTATAGTTCACCTACAATCAAAGAGCATTCTGAACTCCACCAACAATAGAAGTGGACCAGTCTTCCCCTATAGAACCCCCATGACTAACAGAAAATACTGTGTCTTCTGATAGTTGTTGGCGACTCCTCTGACACCCCCTCACACCCCAGGCTGAGAAACACTGGTTTAGTCTGAACTTCAAAGGAGATCTCCAAGGTGCTGAACTCTATTCTTCCCTCCCCCCAAAAAAATCCTGGGGTAGATTTTGTGCCCCACTGATATGGGAGCCACTGACCACTGCTGTAGTCTTCTTATAATTAACATTTGCATTTCTGTATCCCCCAAGCCTAATAAGAAACAGTAGGAATGTTTTGACTCATAGCTTGTATTGTTTTCATTTCTTCCCCCTGCAGCTGGAAGGGATCTGGGCCTTGTGACCTTTAAAGGTTGTGCCTCTCCAGCCATGTGCCAAAGCTCTCTCTTGGGGCTGGTGCAGGAGTTAGACAACACTGACGTCCTCTGTTGCCAAGGAAGCCTCTGCAACAATCGCATTGTGAATGGAAAAGTGACAGAAGCCAGGATCCCTGCTGATAGTATGGACATCGAAGAAGCTCCTGCATGTATCAAACCCAGCCCGGCACCATCTGGAGTCACTCCAATTCCTGACTGTGCCTACACAGAAGAGGAGGAAGATGACAGTGTAGTGAGTGTACATCCCTCTGCTGGGATCCACATTGAGAAAGGAACCGATGTAAATGAAAGAGAGAATAATGAGAAATTAGTAACTGAGAATAACACAATGTCACATTTTTCTCATCATGATGATGACTCAATTACCCACAAAGACACCATCAATGAGAACATCTCTGAAGGATCTTCCCAGGGAAATGCAACCTCACCTTCAGGTGTTCCAGAGTCAGACCTTATTACAGGAGATGGTTCCTCAGCCACCACAAACTTGGATAAGAGCAATCCAGGAGCCAGCACTGCCTCTTCGGGCAATCATGGCAATGTTGTTGTGCTGATCCCTGTCGTTGTGTCCAGGAGGAACAACACCACTACCAGCTCCACCACTTCCTCCTCCACAGAAGCAACCACCGGCAACAGGATCTTGGGAGGGTCCAACACCAATGATGAAATTGACGATGAAGAATGTGAGTCAGAAGTGGAGGGCATGACTACTGGGGAGCACTTCATGGCTGCTAAAGAGAGCAACCATGATGGTTCTACCTCCACCCCAAGGAGCACGATTGTCCCTGTTGGAGCTCATTCTGATGCTGGCATTTTTGTTGAAGGGACAAACCAAGATGCTTCTGCCTACCATTCATCTTCCAATCAAGGTGACCATGGTGCTGGTGTCTTCACTAGAGAAGGGTCTGCTCAAGTTCCTGCCACAGACTCTGCAGGAAGCTATGTAGACCGTGGGCATAATGTCCATGCCCATGGTAGAGATGATGAAAGATTCACTGTTGATGCCAATCACACTCCAAGACCTGGGCATTCCACAGTGGACAACCATGGAGCCACCAGTGGTGAAAACTTCTTTGGTGGCAGTCCTCCTCCCCAACCAGGCCATGTTTCTGATATCGTTATTCCCATCCCCTTTGTTGTGTCAAAGGATAATGACTCTTTCATCACCAAAGACAATAATGTGGCAAATACCAATTCACCCGTTTCCACCAGTGGCCCAGATAGAGACATGCTTGTTTCAGGAGCAGGGGTTGGCACCGCACGTCCGAAGAACAAGGTTCCTTGCAAACGCCCAGGATCTCAAAGACGACCTGGTGCAAAGGTGGAGTCCTCAGATGCAACTAACAAGCGGATCTCAGAAGACATTTTCACCAGAGATGGTGCGACCTCATTATTCAGGGACACTAAAAATTCATCACACAGTGGAGGAGGAAAGGACAATCCCAACAGTGGCTCCTTCAGCCTTCTCAGCAACCTTAGTCTCTTCTTGCTCTCTCTCCTGATGGTTGCTCTGTTGCACTGAGCCTGGAGAGACGGGGCAATGTGTGTTATTTTATTTTAGAACCTAGATGTCCTGGTTTCCACTTCTAATTCTGATCTGACCCTACTTCCTTTCTGACAAGAACTCTTAGGACCTCTGTAAAAATTCCTCTGTCCAAAGACTTCATTGAAATAGAAGGGAAAGTGTTGTAATCAAAGTGCTAAACTTACTTTGGGATAATAGTTTGTATGAAATGTGACACAGTATTTTTTTATTACGGAGCACACAAATAGTATATTGCTCCCTACTGGTAAAAACTGGGACAACACTCCATATGTTTTATAAACCATACATTGTTCCTAAAAGGTGCCTATACCCTATAGGCACCAGTTTCTATCTGATCTTGGAAGCTAAGAAGGGGCTTTGTTAATAATGCTCAAAAAATTGTACAGTTATGAGCTCAACAGACACACGTTACATATAGTTAGAGTATTCTTTGCCCAAAGGAAGATGTATAAATGTGGGCAGCTGAAAGAATCCATTGGAATGTACTATTTTTATGAAAGCACCATAAATATATTTATTTTTTACAACTGTATTGTTGGACAGGTACAACACTCCAAAAACACAGATTGGATCCAAAACATGTGAAAACTGCAAATATTTAGGTTTTACTGGTACTCTCAACTGGAATAAATCCATTAAATCAGCAGTAACTGAGTAACTCAACACTTCTGTAATTTCCATTGATTCAGTGTGTTTTCTGTGCAATTAATAATAGAATCCAAATTGGAGGGCTCCTCCAGGTCTAGGAAGCAAACTCAGCATCCTATACTTCTTCTTCCATCATTGTGAATTTTGAAAACAAAAATGAGTATTTCGAGTTTGAAGGGAAAGGTGAGGTGATTATTTACATAAAAGTAACTTTTTGAAGCTCTGTCCAGCACTGAAATATTTGAAACTCTTCTGGAGTTACATTCTTATAGAATCCAGATCTCTTAGGCCCGCATGCCTTCCTCTATCCGAAGGTTAAGATGGTCCCAAGATAGACTAAAGTATGAAGAGGGCTTTTGCTCTGAAAGGCAACATAAAAGTCCTAAAATAAAAAGAAATGGAAGGAATACAAAAATATGTTTTGATTTATATTTCTTTGCATTCTGGATCTTTTGTTTTATATTCCAAACAGTCTCCCCACCTGACCGTTCTCAGATTTAGTGGAAATCATTTGTTGATCTCCTTGTGGTATTTCATCCCATTGCTCGCTGAATCTGTTTCCCAATTCTTTGTAGCACTCTGTGAATGAGAAATGTGTGAATGCTGGCAATTATGGGACATATTGGAGGGAGGTGGAAGCCCATAAATACAACCCGGGGACATGGAGACAATTTGGGACTCCTCCCCCCCCCCTTTTGTCCTCTCTGCCCATTTTTGGTCCTTGAGACATCTGTTTCCAAACAAAAAATGAGCAGATGTTGACTTTGTGATTGCATATTGTTTTTTAAAAAGCTTAGCCTGCACTTTTGTGTGTCAACATGTGAAGGTATCTTTAATTTACCTGTTGATTTTAAGCAATCTTACGAATACCTTCCCAGGATCCCTGGGGCTGTATCAGGTAAGTCTTAAATGGCATTTGAGTATCCTTATATTTCGGGCCACTGTGCTATGAATGTGTCATACCCTTGAGCCCTGAACAATTCCTGAAATACACGAATGTGTGGCCCAACCAGAGCTTGAATGGAAACAATAGCATTGTGAATCTGTTCTGGATGTTAGTCTGGCATTTAGAGTTGCTATCCATAGTGCTGAACCTATTTTAGAGATAGTTTTGAATACATTGGATAGCACTTAAACCCCAGACAGGATTCACAACATCACTGACATGGAAACCACACAACTGTGATTGAACAGGAATTCTCTAAATAGGGGGGGGGGGGGGCACTACCAAAACATTTCTGCCATGTGTGTTAGCCTTATAGACCACCAAAAATGAGCATGGGTGCCAATAAATATGGCCATGTTTCCTTGTCAAATTATTGGATGGCAATACATATTGTAATTTCCAGTCATACTCCTTGGCTTCCTTGGGAAGATGCCACCTTAGGTTTATTCATGATGTTGAGATTAAAATAAGAACAGAATTGGAGGTGGGAGGAGGACAAAAGGGTTTCAGGGATATAGCATTGACCAAATTATAAGTGTAGGTTCAGTTTTGCAATATCCTTATGCCTGGACAGTATTGTGAAGCCAAAGCTTGGGAGAGTAACTTTTTAAAGGATGGTAATTCACATGGCTTTATTGGCTTGGAAGTGATTGCTTTATAACATTTTTAAAATTCTAAATTGGATACTTATTTAAGTTGGGGAACCTCAAGATAATGATGTTCTGACTCTGAATGCCATTTTCACTGGGGCTCAAACCAATTCTCAGCGGCCTTGGAATCCAGATGCCACAAAATACTCTGTTCATTGCTTGTTAAAGGACAGCATTACCCCAGTTCCCCTGTAATTATGAAATCCACTCTTAACAATAACATCTCAGCCTTGCAATTAAATATTTTGCATGTTAATTCTTAAGGTCATTGAAAACAGCTATTACAAGTTTGCAGGGTTCAGTCAAAGTCTTGCCTAGAGCAGAAACCACTTGAAATGAACTCCTCTGACTAGTTTGAACGGAATGTCTTCAACCCGAGAGAGCTTCCAGGCAATCTATTTTAGTACCAAAAATGTGAAGGAGATTTATTTGTTTGTGGTCCAGCATCTTCCTTCAAGGACACCCTTCTGTTAGTATATGCCTTCCTGTCCTAGGAGAGTCTATATTTGTACTTGGGGAAAGATGGCTTTCCTATTGGGATCCATTTGAAGATCCTTGCATTTCCTGCCTTCTTTGTATGTTGAGTAATTACTGATTCATGGAAAGGTTTGTTTGCTTTTGGGGAACTGGATAAAATTAGGTAGCCTTTGTAGTTCATGGTCACTATTGTTAACTGTGTTTGTTTATAACTTTCAAGGCTTTTCCTTTGTGGAATAATCTTAAATTAAGTAAGGAGGGCTTCAGCTATAGTCAGTTTGGCCCATTTGTTAAAAGTGCTGGACTGGGATTTTGGAAAGCGAGATTCCAGTTCCCACTGAATACCTTCTTGGGTGACCTCTCAACCTGATCTACCTTAGAGAATTGCTGCTGTGAAGATAAAGTGAAGAGCAAGAGAGGAACCTTAAAATCATTGGATGAACAATGGGATGGAAATGTAACAATATACACAGTCAGCCCTCCAGATTCGCTAGGGCTAGGGGCATAGGACTCCTGGGAAAGTGAAAAACGTGAATTTAAAAATGCTATTTCTTTATCTGAGAGAAGTTTGACCATTTTGAAACAGTCAAACAGAAGCTCTCCAAAGCTTTGGGTGCTCTTACTGCCTACTACAGGGAAAACCAGCTGATTCCTAATCCACCTAAAACACAGATGTGTGCTTTTCACCTTAAGAACATACAACCATATAACACTCTGAGGATGACCTGGGAAGGAATCCTACTGGAGCATTGCAGCATGCCAAAATACCTGGGAGTTACTCTGGGCCGTGCTCTGACTTACAAGAAGCACTGCTTGAATATCAAGCAAAAAGTGGGTGCTAGAAATAATATCATACGAAAGCTGACTGGCACAACCTGGGGATCACAACCAGACACAGTGAAGACATCTGCCCTTGCGCTTTGCTACTCTGCTACTAAATACACATGCCCAGTGTGGAACATATCTCGCCACAATAAAACTGTGGATGTCGCTCTTAATGAGACATGCTGCATTATCACAGGATGTTTACGCCCTACATCACTGGAGAAATTATACTGTTTAGCTGGCATTGCGCCACCTGACATCTGCTGGGAAGTAGCAGCAAGCAATGAAAAGACCAAGGCATTGACATCTCCGGCCCATCCTCTGATCAGACGCCAACCAGTATGCCAATGTCTTAAATCAGGGGTCCTCAAGCTAAGGCCTGGGGGCCAGAAACGGCCCTCCAAGGTCATTTACCTGGCCCTCACTCAGGGTCAACCTAAGTCTGAAATGACTTGAAAGCACACAACAACAACAACAACAACAATCCTATCTCATCAGCTAAAAGCAGGCCCACATTTCCCATTGAAATACTATATAAGTTTATATTAGTTAAAATTGTTCTTCGTTTTAATATTGTTTTTAAGTGTTATTTGCACTACAAATAAGATATGTGCAGTGTGCATAGGAATTCATTCATGTTTTTTTCAAATTATAATCTGGCCCTCCAACAGTTTGAGGGACTGTGACCTGGCCCTCTGGTTAAAAAGTTTGAGGACTCTTGTCTTAAATCAAGAAATAGTTTCCTACGATCTACAGAGATACTCACAGGAACACCTCAGCAAGTGAGAGTCCAAAAGTGGCAGGCTAAAACCTGGAATCTCAATCAGTGGTTGAGACCAGATGAGAAACTCCCTCCTGAGCACACAGAAGACTGGGTGACTTGGAAGGTGCTGAACAGATTGTGCTCTGGCACCATGAGATGCAGAGCCAATTTTAAGAAATGGGGCTACAAAGTGAAGTCCACAACATTTGAGGGTGGAGAAGAGCAAACAGCAGACCACCTCCTGCAATGTAGTCAGAGCCACGCAACATGCGCAATGGAAGATATTCTTACAGCAACACCAGAGGCACTCCAGGTGTTCAAAGTGTAGGTCAATGTGCTATTTCCAACAGACTATGTAGACCAGTGGTTCTCAACCTTCCTAATGCCACAACCAATTAATGTTGTGCTAACCCCAAACCATAACATTATTTTCATTGCTACTTCATAACTATCATTTTGCTATTGTTATGAATCATAATGCAAATATCTGTCACGCAGAATGTATTTTAATTCACTGGATCAAATTTGGCACAAATACCTAATATGTCCAAATTGGAATACTGGTGGGTTTCGGGGAGATGGGTTGATTTTGTCATTTGGGAGTTGTAGTTGCTGGTATTTATAGTTCACCTACAATCAAAGAGCATTCTGAACCCCACCATTGATAGAATTGGACCAAACTTGGCACACACAGAACTCCCATGACCAACAGAAAATAGTGGAAGGGTTTGGTGGGCATTGATCTTGAATTTTGGAGTTATAGTTCACCAACATCCAGAGAGCACCCTGGGTTGAAACAATGATAGATCTGGACCAAACTTGGCACTGTGGACTCAAACGATGATGGATACGGACTAAACTTGACACGAATACCCAATATGCCCAAACATGAACACAGGTGGAGTTTGGAGAAAATAGACTTTAACATTTGGGAGTTGTAGTTGCTGGAATTTATAGTTCACCTACAATCAAAGAGCATTCTGAACTCCACCAATGATAGAATTGGGTCAAACATCCCACACAGAACCCCCATGTCCAACAAAAAATACTGTGTTTTCTGATGGTCTTTGGTGACCCCTCTGACACCCCTCTGCGATCCCCCCCCCAGGTCGCAAAGGGGTGTCAGAGGGGTTGCCAAACACCTCACATGACACTCTATGACCTCTATTTTCAGAACACCATAGCAGTGACTGTACTGATGTATGAATGTGTTATATTTGCAGAGAAATAACTTCTATTCAGATAATCATTTGAACATGTTAATTCCTATTTGGACTCATCTCCTGGCCAGCATGGCAC